TATCCAGCACATTATTATTTTTTAATATTTTATTTATTATTTTTGTTTTATGTGTATGAGTGTATTGCCTGCATGTAGGTTAAGTGCACCTGTGTCATACAAGGCCTGCAGAGGACAGAGAGGCTGTTGGATCCCCTGAAACTGGAGTTACGGACAGTTGTTAGCTGCCACGTGGGTGCTGGGATGTGAACCCAGATGTTCTGCTGAGCCATCTCTCCAGCCCCTATTATTTTTATGTGCATGAGTGTATTGCCTGCATGTATGTAAGTGCACCGGTGTCATACAATGCCCGTGAAGGTCAGAAGAGGACGTGAGATCCCCTGAAACTGGAGTTACAGATGGTTGTTGGCCACCACCATGTGGGTGTGAAGAATTGAACCCAGGTCCTCTGCAAGAGCAGTCAGGGCTCTTTAACAGCTGAGCCAACTCTCCAGCCCCATACTATCCAACCTTTAAAAGGAAGAAAGGCTATCATTTGTGATTACATGGATAGAACTGGAAAACTTTAAGCAAACTAAGCCAGGCACAGAAAGACAAGCACTTGATAATCTTACTTGTACGTTGGGTCTGAAACAATTATACCAGTAGAAGCAAGAGTAGATGGTTACCACAGGCTGGAGAGGTGAGTGGGGAGATGGAAATCAACGTTATGAAGCCTCAGTTAAGCTTTTGAGATTTTTTTCCTTTAAGATCTATTGTAGAACATAATGAATATGGCTAATATTGAGTATTGTACATTTCCACAGACAGAAGAGTAACTCCAAATGTTCTCATCACAAAAATGTCAAGTATTCAGGTGACATACAGGTTAACAGTTTCTTTAGACATTGTATGTTGTATCCAAAAATCATAATACCACTTTGTACTTTATAACATATATATATATATATAATTTGTTTTTTCATTTCTCTTTTGTGTGTGCGTATGCACGTGTGTGTGTGTAGGATAGAAGGAAATCTTGGGTGCTCTTCCTCCATGGGCACCATCTACTTTTTTTTTGTTTGGTTGGTGGTTTTTTTTTTTTTTTGGTTTGGTGGTTTTTAAAATTAATTTATTTAATAGTTTTATTTTATGTATATGACTGTTATATAAGTGAACCTGTGTCACTCAATGCCCACGGAGGGCAGAAGAGGATTTCAGATCTCCTGGAACTGGAGTTACAGACGTTGTTAGCTACCATGTGGGTGTTGGGATTTGAACCCGGGTCTTCTGCAAGAACAGCCAGTGCTCTTAACCACTGAGCCATCTCTCCAGCCTCTTGGTTGGTTTTTAATATTTACTTATTTATATTTTATCTGTATTAATGTTTGCCTGTATACATGTATGTGCACCACCCACATGCCTGGTGACAGCAGAGGCCAGAAGAGGGCATCTGATCTCCTCCAACTGGAGTTACAAACAGTTGTGAGCTGCCATGTGGGTACTAGGAACCAAATCTGAGTCCTCTGCAAGAGCAAGTGCTCTTAATCACTGAGCCATCTCTCCAGCTGCCCCCACCGACCTTTATGTGTGGTGTTTCTCAGCGTGTGTCCATGTGTGCACATGGGCAGATGCCAAAGGACAGACTCCCATATCATCTTCAGGAATGCCATTCACCCCCTTGAGACAGGGTCTCTGGTTGGCCTAGAGCTTACCAATTAGGCTAGACTGGATGGCAGAAGGCCAGTGAGCCACAGGGAACTTCCTGCTTTTACTTCCCCAGCAGTAGGATTAAAGTAAGTGCCACGTACCTGGCTTTTCGTTGTCTTAACTGTGGGTGTTGGGGACTGTATGCAAGGCAAGCGCTTTACCACTGAGCCACCCCTGTAGCCCCATCTTAATTTTTGAGCCAGGGCTTCTCACTGGCCTGGAGCTCACTTGATTAGGTTGGTTGGTCAGTTGGTCAGCAAACCCCAGGGATCTGCCTGTCTCTGCCTCTCTAGTGCTAGAATTGCAATGTGTATCACCATACCCAGCTTTGTATATGTGTTCTTTGAGATTGAACTGTGGTCCTTATGCTCATACAGCAAACATTTTATGGACTAAACTACCTCCCCAGCCCTTTCCCTTTGAGACAATGTCTCATGTATCCCAGGCTGGCTTCAACCTAATATGTAGCCAAAGATGACCTTAAAACCTGATCCTCTTGCCCCTACCTTCCAAGAGCTGGGATTACAGGCCTGCATCACCTTACCCAGCTAACTTCTCAGTATATAACTTTGTTTTGAGATGCAGTCTTACTATGTTGCCCAGGATTGCCTCCAGTTCTTAGGCAAGAGCAATCATGCCTCAGCCTTTAAGAGTAGCCAAGGCTGTAGGTGGTTGACAGCATCCAGCTTTATCAGTGTGTAATTTGAGATGCTGGGAGCTGGTCAGGCTGAAAAAAAAAAGTGAGTGTAAAGGTTTCAAAGTATGCAAGAGCTTGAATTTCTGAGGAAGTACAAAAAGACAGGCCAGAGTGGAGGCAAAAATAGACCTTCTTGCAAGGTGTGGTGGTGCACACCTTTAATACCAGCACCGGCACTGGGAGGCAGAGGCAGGTGGATCTCTGGGAACTCAAGGCCAGCCAGGCTTACATTGCAAGACCCTGTCTCAAAAAGGAAAAAAAAAAAAAAAATGAACCTTGTAGAGGGTTACCTTAAGAACCCAGAACTGGAGAGATGGTTCAGTGGTTAAAGGCACTTACATGCTGCTCTTTCAAGCACCAACGTGGTTGCTCACAACCATCTGTAACTCCAGCTGCAGAGGATCTGAGACTCTCTTCTGTGAGGGTACCAGGCAAACACTCATACATACAAAATAAAAACTAAATAATCAGGAGGTTTAGCTAAGCGTGGTGGCACACGTCTTTAGTCCCAGCACTTGGGAGGCAGAGGCAGGCAGATCTCTGTGAGTTCAAGGCCAGTCTGGTCTACATAGTGAGTTCCAGGCCAGCTGAGGCCAAAAAAAAAAAAGAATCAGGAGGTTGGAGAGATGATGGCTCAGTGGTTAAGAGCTGCTCTTGCACAGGACCTAGGTTCAATTCCCAGAACCCATATGGCATCCTAAAACCATCCTAACTCCAGTTCCAGGGGATCCGATACCCTCTTCTGACCTCTGAGGCACTGCACAACACAGGTGTACTTGCATACATGCAGGCAATACACTCATAAACATAACAAATAAAATATTAAAAAAAGAATCAGGACTGGGCATGGTGAGATGGCTCAGCAGGTAAAGGAATTTGCTGCCAAACCTGACAACTCAAGTCTGATCCCCGGGACCTACATGGTGGAAGGACAGTGCACTGATTCCTGAAACTGCCCTCTGACCTCCACACATGCGCTGTGGCTCAGGCATGCCCCCACACATATACAAACTAAAAACATGTAAAACAAAACAAACGCCTACCACCAACAGGAACCACGGACTGTTTCCTTTAAAAGACAAAGGGAACCTGAAAGGAGGGGAGGGACAGAGAAGCACGACATGGGCATCTGCTGGGAACCCCTGGCTGGCAGCCAGGAGCACTGGGCAGGCTGGGGTCTGGCTCTGATCCTTATTTCCAGTAAACAGGAAGGTCACTTTGCCTCCCTGAACCTCTGCTGCTGTAAAAAGTCAGGTTGGATTAAATGATCTTTCATATCTGTTCTCCCCATCTTCCAAGCCCAGGCCACTCCTCACTCCTGCTTATGCTTTTTCCAACGACGTTAAACACTCTCTTCCTTGTGCCCTTTCCCAGCTAAGAATATCCAGCTGCAAGGAATAAATGCCCTGTCTTCATTTCTCTCCAGTAGGCTGTGAGTTGAGAATGCAGTGCCAGGTCGAAGGCAGCTGTATGCACCTCCTGTTATGGTGACATCACTCTGCCAGATGTTTGATCAGAAAAGCACTGGGGGGCGGTGGAGCTCCTGCTTTGCCTTTCTGTAAGAATGATCTCAAGGACTTTTTAAAAAGTTCCTTCATATATGCACATTTCACACATATATGAAGATTTCTGTAACAAAGTTTATTTTTAGCATCTTTTTTTTTTTTTTTTTTGGTCTTTTTGAGACAGGGTCTCCTTATAGCCCCAGGTGTCCTGGAACTCACTATGTAAACCAGGGTGGCCTCGAACTCACAAAGATCCACCTGCCTCTGCCTCCCAAGTGCTGGGATTAAAGGCGTGCGCCCCCACGCCCAGCTAGCATTTTCAACTGCAAGGAATCAGACCTAAGATTCTCCCAGCACAGCATCTCCCCCAAGAGCTGATGCCAATTCCTGCCTCCCAGCTCTAAGACAGTGGATTTTTTTGTACCCAGGAAGTTCATGAAAATTTATCTTTTAGTACTAAAAGCAACCCCTTCCCGTTCCTCTTCAAGGTGCACCTGTGGCTTATCATTATAGCATGCATCTGGGTTACAGTACCTTTGTTCATTCCTAAGGGAATTTTGACACGTTGGAGACTTTCCTCTGGAGATAGTGGGAGAGGGAGAGGGAGCGGAGAGGGGAGGAGAGTGGGTAGGGTAGGGGAGGGAGGGAGGTACTGACTCATGTAGCCCGGTTCAAATTCTCGAAGTAGCCAAGGATGAACCTGAACTTCTGATCCTCCTGCCTCCACCTCCTGAGTGGTGGGATTACAGGCGAGCATCACCAGTGGAGCTGGGGACAGAACCTGGAGCTCCATGCAAACACTCTACAAACTGAGCTACACCCTGGAGCCCCAGAACCCGAAACATTACTGGTCATGTCATGGATGATAAGAGAGGCTTCAAGAAGGCAATCAGGCTGTGAAGCCGGGTTCTGGGTTCAAGGTCAGCTCTATCAGAGGTCTGGCAAATCATCTGAAAACTTCTCTTACCTCCTTCTCAGGACTGCCATGATTATAAAGGATCTAGCATTCAATGCTTAATATATAATAACCATGCGGTAAGTGGTACACCTTTAGTTTTAGTCTCAGGCCAGCGTCCTTCCTTCTCTGCGCGTCCTCTCCCGCCCCACGTGCCCCGCGTAAACAAGCAATCGCGCAGGCGCCAGAGGTCTGCTCCCATTGGCTACCCGGCCCCGGCATAGTGGGGTGGTCCCGGGGAGAGACTGAGTGGCCTCTGACCTGGGGCTCCCTCTCGGTTGATCCCCGGGTCCGTGGGTCGCTGCGTTCGGCCGGCCAGCTTCGCCCTGGCCATGGCGCCCTGGCTGCGGCTGCTGTGGCTGCTGGTGCTGTTCCCGGGTGCGGCCTCGGTCCCCGCCCAGCCCCGGGCTGCAGGAGGGCAGGCCTGGGACCAGACCCCCCCGGAGCTGCGGGCGCCCGCTTACTTCGCTCTGGATGTGTACAACCGCGGCCGGGCTCCCGGGACGCGGGCGGTGCTGCGGACCGTATGCGGGCGCGTCCGCCGGGTGAGGTTGCGCGGTGGGCCTGGTCCCCGGGGTGAGGAGGGTGGGCTTTTGGGCTTAAACGTGGGGTGATGGGCTGGACCTTGGAGGAAAGAACCTGTGCAGACTCAGATCTGGTAGGGAGGCATGCGTGGGCCCTGGGCTCCGAAGAGGAGCCGAGGAGGGTACGGCTGTGCCAGCCTCTCCTGCGCTTCCATCCAGGAGAGCAGGGGCTTGCTGTACTCTCTGAAAGCCACTCTGGAGGAGCCACCTTGTAACGATCCCACGGTGTGCCTGCTCCCTGTGACCAGGAAAACCCTGGTGAGTGATGGGGTTTCTGCTGTTACTCGCCCTAGGGTATCAAGCAATTGGGATGCTGAATCAGATCAAGAGGCAGCAGCTACCCAACCCTGAGTCAATTCCCAGAGACCCAAGATGGTCTGAAGGGTGGGTGTCTGGAAGAGAGGGTGTCTGGGTACTGACTGTGCCTCTTCCCTTAACCATGGGGTGATTGCCTTTGGGGTGGTTATCATTTGAGGAGCTGCTTTTGTCAGGCCCTTGTTCCAAACCAGCCCCCAGACTGTCTTCCTCTCTGTCCAGCTTTGCAGTTTCGAAGTCCTGGATGAGCTCGGAAAACACATGCTGCTGAGGAAGGACTGTGGCCCTGTGAATACCAAGGTTACAGGTGCTGGGATAGCCCACCAAGGCTGGGATAACCCAGACTATACTTCATTAAGAGTTCAGTCTTGATTTCTTCTCTGTTCTAACCCTACCCAGACAACACAAACGATACTTTCGGCTCATTCCTTCCACTGTTGAAGGAGGATCCTCCACCCCAGGTGAGGAGCCTGTTATTTGGGGAGCCAATGGTCCCCCTTATTCACACTTCTCTCCCTTCACCCTTGATTAGGGTCCAGCGGTCAGCCTGAACTCTTGGTGACCACCCTTCTGCCTTCCCAGGACTTTTCAGTGAAGATTGCTGCAGTCTTCAAGGACTTCATTACTACCTATAACCGGACTTATGAATCAGAGAAAGGTGAGGACCCAGCCTTGGCTCTACCTGTTCCAGGAGAACCTGGTCTTTCTCCTGTTGTGAAGCCTTGATGTGGAGAAGGACACAAGAGGCAGTGCCTTCCTCAGGAACTCTTCAGTCCCTGAGCACTTATCCAGACCTTTAGGTTTGGGCAGCTACCTTAAATATATGTCACCTCACCTTCCTTGCCAGAAACCATGGGCTTCCATTGCTCCAGGCAGGATATGATAGATTTTCTCTGCTGGATTCCCTCCTGAACTCTGGTTTTTCCCAGGGCCTCTCCTGAGTGATGATTTCAGGTCTCGTTTCATTACTGCTTTCACACCTTAGAAGTTGCCCCTCCAATTTGATCCCCAAAATTGACCACACCTCCCACTTTGTCACTTGGAGGTCTACCTCCTCTTCATCTTCTTTCACCTGTCCCTACATCCATCCTTTTTAAAAAAATATTTTATTTTTAGCACTCAAGAGACAGAGACAGGCAGATCTCTGTGTGACTTTGAGGCCAGCCTGGTCTACATAGTGAGTTCCAGGTCAGCAGGGGCTATAGGGAAACCTTGTCTCAAAAAGACCAATATAGCCAGGTGTGGTGGCACATGCCTTTAATCCCAGCACTTGGGAGGCAGAGGCAGGCGGATCTCTGTGAGTTCAAGGCCAGCCTGGTCTACATAGTGAGTTCCAGGTCAGCAGGGGCTATAGGGAAACCTTGTCTATGAGTGTATTGCCAGCATGTATGTAAGTGCACCTGTGTCATGCAATGCCTGTGGAGGTAGGAAGAAAGCGTTGGATCCCCCATGGAACTAGAGTTAGAGAAAGTTGTTAGCCACCATCTGGGTGTTGTGAATTGAACCCGGGTCCTCTGCAAGAGCAGCCAGTGCTCTTAACTGCTGAGCCATCTCTCCTCTACCCCCTACCCCAAAAGAGCTTCAAGGGTTAGGCATGGTGGTACACGCTTTCAATCTCAGCACCCAGCACAGGCAGGCAGATCTCTGTGAGATCAAGGTCAGCCAAATCTACATAGTGAGTTCCAGGCCAACTGAGGCTAGTGGAAGACTCTGTCTTTGCCCTCCCCCCGCCAAAAAATAAGGATGTTTCAGTTAATAAAGCCCTCGTCTTACAAACCTGAGGACCTGCATTTGAGCTCCACAACCCACATAAAAAGCTAGGTGTGGGGCTGGAGAGATGCTCAGTGGTTAAGAGCACTGGCTGCTCTTCCAGAGGATGCAGGTTCAGTTCCCAGCACCCACATGGCATCCAACAATTGACAATAATGCCAGTTCAGAGGAATCCAATGCCCTCTTTGGCCTTTAGTGGTCATTACACAACATAGGTGCACTTACATTCATGCAAGCAAAAACACTCATACACATAAATTTTTAAAAAAGAATAGTCTAGGCATGCTGGTGCTCACTTGTAATCCCAGCAGTGACCAGATGGGAGGTAGAGGCAAATTCCTGGAAATTTACTGACTAGCTAGTCTACCCTACTTTGTAAAGTTCCAAGCCAATGAGAGACCTTTGTCTCAAAAGGTGGAAGACCCAGCCAGGCATGGTGGTCCACACCTTTGATCCCAGCACTTGGGAGGAAGAGGCAGGTTGGATAGATCTCTTTGAGTTTGAGACCAGCCTGGTCTACATAGTGAGTTCCAGGCCAGGGAAACCCTATCTCAAAAAGACCAAAAGAAAATAAAGTGGAAGGCCCCCGAGGAACGACACCAAAGCTTGTCCTCTGATCTCTGCACACGCTCAAAAGCTTCAGGTCCAATCCAGGGTCTACCATTTGCCTGGGAAAAACTTCCCTTTAGCCTCACTTATCTTTAATTTTGTAATCTGCCGGGGTCTGAGCTCCTATCCTCTTCCCTTTGGTCCTCAGAAACCCAGTGGCGCCTGGCTGTCTTTACCAGAAACCTGGTACAAGCACAGAAGATTCAGGCCCTGGACCGTGGCACAGCTCACTATGGGATCACCAAGTTCAGTGATCTCACAGGTAGGGATGGTGATCAAAGCCCACATAGAATCTGAAAGAGACAGGGCCCCTCCAAAAACCCCTCATGAGGGCTGGCTTAAAATAGTCATCCTTTTGTGCTCTGCCCTGCCCACCTCCACCTACAGAGGATGAGTTCCACACCATCTACTTGAATTCCTTCTTACAAAAGGAAGCTGGCAAGAAGATGCATCTAGCCAAGTCCATCAGTGACCCTCCCCCACCTGAATGGGACTGGAGGAAGAAGGGGGCTGTCACTAAAGTGAAGGACCAGGTTGGAGCCCCAGAAGTGAGGGTGAGAAGGTATACTGGGGACTAGGGAAGGGATAGAGAGCCCTGACCCTGGCTTTTCTCTTGTAGGGCATGTGTGGCTCGTGCTGGGCCTTCTCCGTCACAGGCAACGTGGAGGGCCAGTGGTTCCTGAACCGGGGAACCCTGCTCTCCCTCTCAGAGCAGGGTGAGCATCTTGCTCCAACTCCCTGTCCCCAGCTCAGCCCCTCCAGAGGGCTCCTTGGAACCAGCCTTATGTCTCCTAGAGCTCTTGGATTGTGACAAGATTGACAAGGCCTGCCTTGGGGGCTTGCCCTCCAATGCCTACGAAGCTATAAAGAATTTGGGTATGCATTAATGGCATCAGGAGGGGCAACAGTGTCCTCTCTCTGGAAGGAGATGAGGTATGGGAGTCACACAGAACTGGGTTCCAGTCTTTATGTTGGCTCTTATTAGCTAAAGATGTTCAGCAAGTCATTTCTGTTACAGCCTCAGTTTTCTCAACTGAGTGTCCACTTTTTAGGATTGTCAAGTGAGAAAATATATGTCAAGTTTTGATACAGGATAAGGACCCAGTGAACGGGATCCTAGTGAGGTCTATGTTTGCTTTAGATAGGGTCTCACTATGCAGCCTTGAGTGGCCTGTAACTTCCTATGTAGGTCAGGCTTGCCTGGAACCCACAGAAAATTTGCCTGCCTGTGTCTCCCAAGTCTTGAGATTAAAGGCATGCAATACCATTCCTGCCTCTGTGTTCATTTATTTTTTGGTCTTTTTGAGACAGGGTTTCCTTATAGCTCCAGGTGTTTGTTTTTTTTTTTTTTCAATGTGTATGAGCATATAGCCTGCATGCATCTAAGTGTACCTATGTCATGCAGTGCCCACAGAGTCAGAAGAGGTGTTAAATACCCTGAAACTGGAGTTATAGACTGTTGTTAGTTGCCACATGGGTGCTGGGAACTGAACCTAGGTCCTCTACAAGAGCTGTGTCTCCAGCCCTCTGGCTCAGTGTTCTTAAAGTGCTGCTGAACTAGATAGCAGCACACCTCTCCTCTGAGGGAGAAAGTATTACATTGGTGGTTCAGTTCAGCAGTAGGCTGCTGCGGTTGAAGGGTGGAGGGCTGAGGGATTGAAGTGGCTAGAAAGAGACTGGTCCAGGAGCCCAGGAAGGATCTGAGCTAAGAGTGAACTGTCAGGAGGACAAGCAGCAAAAGACAGAAGTGCCAGGCAGGCTGGCATGAGCCCTCAGCAAGGAAGCAGAGAGAGGAGTGGAGCCTGGTCTGTGCTGGTTACTACTGGTCTGTGCTGGTTACTACAGCTCCTCCTTCCACACACCTTTCCATCCCCACCTGTATCACCAGTATTCTGAAGAGGTTCTTTAGACAGGTGCCCAGCCAGTTCCTGGGTCAGGAGCATGAGGCCTCGTGTCTGTTGGAAGTTCAGCATGTTTCTGACTGGGAGGACATGGGTGAGTCATAAATGGGTCTGCTCTTTCCCCAGGAGGGCTGGAGACAGAGGATGACTACAGCTACCAGGGCCATATGCAGGTCTGCAACTTCTCAGCACAGATGGCGAAGGCCTACATCAACGACTCAGTGGAGCTGAGCCAGAATGAACAGAGTGAGTGTGGGGTGGGGCAGGGTGAGGCCCATGTTGCAGGACCCAAATACCACTGACACTGCCTTCCCCCCTCAGAGTTGGCAGCCTGGCTGGCCCAGAAAGGACCGATCTCTGTCGCCATCAATGCCTTCGGCATGCAGGTGAGGCACTGGCCCCTCTACCCCATTCCATCTCATCTGTGCCTCTCCTACTTCTTGGAACTGGCCCCCTACTTCCTGTTCTTTTCTAGTTCTACCGCCATGGGATCGCCCACCCACTCCGGCCCCTCTGCAGCCCTTGGCTCATCGACCATGCTGTGCTGTTGGTGGGCTATGGCAACCGTGAGTTCTTCTGGCCTCCTGCCTATCCGTACGAGCTGGATAGTAGCTTCTCAGGTTTTCTGAGGGGGACCTCAGGGTAATGCCTAGGAACCCTGCCCTTAATTAACCCCAGCCTCTGGGAATTACCCATACTTGCTTTATAGAGGAAAGCTGGGGTTGTGGGAGGCTGAAGTGTTGTGCTAGAGGCAATTGACAAGTGCTCTCCCTACGTACATCCTATAGGTACAGGAGGACTCCATGAGGGTAGTTGGTGGTCCCTTGCTCTTTACTCCTTTCCTAGTTCCTGTCACACAGTAGGCCTACTGCAGTAATTTGAAGGGTGTAGTCTATGAGGATGAGTGGAGAACTAGGAGCCCCTGACCACTTATACTCTATGGCTGCTCTCTAGGCTCCAATGTTCCTTACTGGGCCATCAAGAACAGCTGGGGGCATGACTGGGGTGAAGAGGTGAGTCTCCTTCACTTGGCCCCTGGCCCTCTAGCTCCATCCTGCTTGAGCAACTTCACCAAGTCCCGCTCTCCCCCAGGGTTACTACTACTTGTATCGTGGATCTGGGGCCTGTGGTGTGAACACCATGGCCAGCTCAGCAGTGGTGAACTGAGGGACTTGCTGGCACAGGACCTGGTGCTGACCACAGTGGCCCCTTCCTCAGCCTGACTCACATGTCCAACCCCCTCCCCATGAGGCATGGCTGACTGAGGGACAGGCACTGGGTACCTCAGGGTGAGCAGGGGACCCTGGGCCCTTCCTTCCCTTCACCTCATTCCCACTTGAAGTTCCCCAGCTGCATCTTTATTGAACTGTGGTAGCTAGGAGGATCCTGAGGTAAAGGAGGCTTTTGTGGCAGCCAAAGCTGGGGCAAAAACCCTGGGCTTGGGTAAGTGGTAGGATGAAAATATTCTGATCATGCTGGTCATGGTGGCGCACGCCTTTAATTCCAGCACTCGGGAGGCAGAGGTAGGTGGATCTCTGTGAGTTCAAGGCCAGCCTGGTCTACATAGTGAGTTCCAGGCTAGCTGGGGCTGCAGGGAGACCCTGTCTCAAAAAGACCAAAAGAAAAAGAACTATGGGAATAAAAGGGGAAAAAAATTCTCCCAATACCCAGTTTAAAAAAAAAAAAAAAAAAAAAACAAAAGAAAATTGAATAGAGCCTTGTTGGAATGGCTGTAATATTCAACTACTCAGTTGCACTATTAAAAAATTGTTTTATTTTAGAGAGAGAGAGAGTGTGTGTGTGTGTGTGTGTGTGTGTGTGTGTGAGCCCCAGAACTTGCTGGCCAGCCAGTGTAGCCCATCTTTGAGTGCCATGTTCAGTGAGAGGCCCTGTATCAAAAGATAAGGTGGAGGACATTGGAGGAAGAAACCTGATGCTGACCTCTATCCTCCACACACTTATGCATACATGTACCTGCACACCTGCACACACACAAACATATGTACACACACACACACACACACAGAGAGAGAGAGAGAGAGATGCTGTGCAAAAGCAAAGCACACTGAATGAACATCTCTCAATGTGGTTTGTATCTACTAAGTGCACCTGTGTCATGTAATGCCCATGGAGGTCAGAAGAGGCTGTTGGATTCCCCTGGGACTGGAGTTACAGACAGTTGTTAGCGGCCATGTGGGTGCTGGGATTCGAACCCAGGTCTTCTGCAAGAACAACCAGTGTTCTTAACCACTGAGCCATCTCTCCACCCCCCAAAAGCCTTTTATTTACAAATATCATAGGAGTGTGGTAACCTGACACTGAAGTCTGGTCTCTACTGCCTCCATAGGGTTTTGCTCCCCTCCCTTTCTGGAACCCCAAAACCATCTGACTGGTGGGACTGGCCTTTCTTCCTCTGTTGAGTCTTCAAAGCTGCATGTGTACAATGGCTGCTATACAGCTTGACTTGGTGGCATTTCTCCTGTGAGGCTGGAGGGGCCAGACACACAGACCCTGACCCTTCTATGAGTCACCCACAATCAGTGTTTCCCTTCCTAGAAGTGATTCTTTTTTTAAAAAAAATATTTTATTTATTATTTTTTATTTTATGTGTGAGTGTATTGCCTGCATGTATGTAAGCGCACTCATGTCATACAAAGCCAGTGGAGGTCAGAAGAGGGCATTGGATCTCCTGGAACAGGAGTTACAGTTGTTAGATGCCCTGTGGGTGTTGGGAACCAAACCCGGGTCCTCTGCAAGAGCAGCCAGTGCTCTTAACCATCCAGCCATCTCTCCAGCCCCCTGTTTTTTAAGGATTTTGAAAATTTTATCTTATGTGTATATGTGTATGCTTGAGTACACCTAATGTTCACCACATGCATACAGGTGCCCATGGAGGCAAGAAGAGGACACCAGATCCCCTGGTTTTTGAGACAGGGTTTCCCAGTAGCCCCAGCTGGTCTGGAACTCACTTTGTAGACCAGGCTGGCCTCGAACTCACAGAGATCCACCTGCCTGTCTCCCAAGTGCTGAGATTAAAGACATGCACCACCATGCCTGGCATATATTTGCTCTTTACCATTGTTCTTAGAGGGAAAAAATATTGCAAGCTCAGACCTTATAGTCACATAGAACTTCTTAATTTAACTCTCAGTGCTTTTGGTAGCCCTTGGGTGGGTGCGATGAGCAGAGGATGCAGATGCATGTAAAGAGCCAAGCAGAAGGTGGTCATTGGAGGAGAGGGGTACTCTGATGGTATTTCTGGGAGCAATTAGGGGGACTCACCAGGTCGTAACCCATGGAGATGAGGCAAGCTCGGAAGTCATCAGGTTCCATCATCCCATTTCGCTTCTGTAGAGGGAAAGTGGATGTCAGGCTTGGCTTCACACCCCACCAGTGCCCCCGAAAGTCTCTTACCCTGCAGGGCTTAGCCCTTGCTGACCCGGTCAAAGTGGTTGAAGGATGCTCGGAACTCATTGAGCTGCTCCTGGCTCAGGCCCTTGGCATCTCGGGTCAGTACTTGGTTCTCTACCTCATTGATGGTACGGGCAATAGAGGTGAGTAGCTGCTCCCAGCCCACACGAATGTGCTAGAGGGCAGGAGATGGGTCAGTAAGTGGCTGGCACCCAGTCCTTATTCAGTTATGTTCCTAATCCATTGTGACCCTGGGCAAGTCTTGCCCCTTATTGGGCTTCTGTCCCTATCTCAAGTTTCCCCGAGTGGCTCCCAACAGACCTTTCTGTCTTTAATATCATTGTGTATTAAGTATTGATCAATACGTCACTTTTTTTTTTCTCTTGTTTTTTGAAAACAGTCTTGAGTAGCTTATGCTGGCCTTGGACTTGCTATATAGCTGAGAATGACCTTGAACTCCTGATCCTTATGCCTCCAACTTCCAAGTGCTGGTGTTGCAGGTGTGCCCCGCTGAAGTTAGCCTTTACAGTTTGCGGGGTCTCAGTATCCCCAGGAGGACATTGGGAAAGCTTGCCAAGCTGAACTGGGGGCCCTCAAGGACAGGCATGCTGTCTAGCAGCGATCATACCAGCTTCCCTTCCCTCTCTCCCAAAGGTGGGACCCCACCTCCATGCTGTACACAGTATGCTTGTTGTCAAAGACCAGGCTCTCCTGCAGCAGCTGGTGGTCACCCTCCAGCCGGTCAATGTTGCTCTTGTAGTTGATAATGTTCTGTTCCTGCTGCCGCAATCCCGCCATCTGCTCCTCCAGAGAGCCGGCCAGCCCAGCTGCCAGCCGCCCCACCTCCTGTAGGGATATCCAGGCAAATGAGAGCTCTCAATTCCCTGTGGCCCAGCCCTGGTCCCATTCCCTGAATTAGCCTGGCTCTCTAAGCCCTTACCTCCACCTTTCCCTGGATCCAGGGTCCTATAGCATTGGCCTGGGCCGCAAACTGTCTCCGGAGTCTCTCATTCATCTGCTGCCGTGCCAGTTCTTCCTGCAGTGTCTGGTCACGGCTAGGCACAAGCTTTCGGACCTGGAAGGAGAGTAGTAGGAGAGTAGTTGTGCCAGGGCCAGGTCTGGGTACTGGAGATGGTTCTGAGGGGAGTTGACCTCTAGCCCTTTAAAACCCAGTTCTTTATGCTGTGAGTTAAATTGGGATATGTGGATATGTTCTGGGGCAAATAGATTAATTTTTGTAGGCTACAGGTTCCTCATCTGTAAAATGGGGCTAGTGACATAGGTTTGTGGAAGATGCCCACACAGTAATTCTACACATTAGTTCTGATAGGAGAATGCTGTTGTTGTAGGCATTATACAAATATGGACACATCAGACAAGGTGGCTTATTTAATGCTGTGTAGAATCTGTGACAGAACCCAAATCTGGCTAGAGGTAGACTTTATTCCCATATCTTGGGATACCAGAGTTTTCAGTGATTTGAATATGCAAGAGCAAGTGGGGGCCATCCAGGGTTACCAGTGGTACTGACCATGTCCCACTTATTGTTGATGTCCTGTGAGCTAAGGGTGATGTAGGGGTTGGTAGACTTTGGCTGCAGTCCATATGTTTGGCAGATCTTCTGGATCTCACCCTGGATGCCCAGAATGGCACCTCGCTCTCTATCAGCCTCAGGTAACGTTGCTTTGAACTGTTCATGTGCTGTTAAAAGGCTCTGGGAGAAACAGGAAGGATCAACCAGCACACCCACTTACCACCGGCAACACAGAGGGCAGGACAGTAAGCTAGGCCATCCAGTAGTTGACATAGGACTCATCCAAGAACCCAGGCCTCTTGCCTGCCAGCCCAGTACTCTAGAACTGTTTTTTTCCCTCCCTCCTATCCCCATTACCCAGGATCCCAAGGGAGTGGCTGATGGAATGTGGGACCAGCTTTCCTGTCATCATACCCAGTGCCTCCAAAATTGCTCCAGAATGCCAGCACCTACCTGGGTCTCCTCCACAGAGTGCACCAGCCACACATCCTGTAGGTCCTCCACAGCCCCATCCAGCCAGTTGTTGAAAGGTGCTGCCCGTCGGGCAAACTCCAGCTGCAGCTGGTCAATGGTTTCCAGGAGCTTCTCCATCCTCTAGGGACCATGGGGACCATGGATCATCAGCCCTTTCCCAGCTTGCTGGCTTCCTCACCTTGCCCCGGATGCCAGGTCCCATCTGCCCACCTCTAGTGCATCCCGCCTCTTCTGGGTCAGCGTGCCCAAGTTGTCCCATTGGTCGCAGATGGCTTGGCAGCGGCTGTTCACAGATGCTGCCTCATGATAGTCCAGCTCACTAAGGGGATGAAAAGGGAATGAGTAGAAAAAGACCCTGGCCTACAATAGAATCAATTGGAGTTGGATGGATGAAGGCCTCAGGCAGCCAGAAGAGGTCTCAGTATGTCCCTGCAGGAAGCAGGTACCCAGGATCCTCAGCTCCAGTCCCTGGGGGTGCTCTGGTGGCAGAAATAGGATTTCAGAAGGATTGTGGAAGGGGCGGAACTGGAGGAGGTGGTTGGTGAGGCCCAGGCTGATGGAGAGGTTTGGGGTAGCCAGGTGAAGGGGGCATCCAGGTTGGGGGAAGACAGGTGCCTGCCACGTGTGTAGGCAGCGGAGTGGCTAAGGAGATGGTGATGGCGTTGATGGGAGGGGACGGAGGGGGCGCGGAGCAAGTGGTCTTGTGCCACCAGTGGTTTCCTAACCCTGCAGAACCAAGGGTCTAACCGAGCTGCAGCGGGGCGGGGCTCGAGGCGGAGGGGCGGGGCCAGTGGCGGGCCACGCCTACTTGAGCTCCTGGGCGAGGGCGGCGACGTGCTCCACGCGGTCTTGGTGTGCGGCCAGGTCGCTCTCAAAGGCCTCATGGCGCCGCAACAATGCACGCACCTCCTGCAGCGAAGCCAACTCATAGTCGTGCTGATTTAGCATCTCCTCTTTTCCTGCTCCGAAAGAGGGCCAGCTCCTGTCACCCAGAGCCTGCTGTAGCAGGAGCCGGGGCTTTCCACCGGCTGTGAGGTTGTCCAGCCTACCCTAGATGCCAGCCTGATCCTTGGCATGGCCTGTCAAGGACATCAGTGTCCTCTGACCCAACACCGTACAGACTGACCTTTGCTACAATTTTGGAATTTATTTAATATCCAACTACTGCCTCTATTTGACTGGGTTTCATTTGCTCACCACGGCCTCCCAGGGCCTGGCACAGGGCCTGCACTTGGTCGATAGTAGACCCTCCATGAATAATTGCTGTATGATTGAATATTGAATGTAAAAGTAATTTATAGGTCCAGTGTTGTGGCACAGGCCTTTAATCCTAGCACTGGGGAAGCAGAGGCAGACAGATCTCTGTAAGATTGAGGCCAGTCTGGTCTACATAGCAAGTTCCATACCATCCAGGACTACAGGGAAACCTTGTCTCAAAAAGCTAAATGGGGCCAGAGAGATGGGCCAATGGTTAAGAGCACTGGCTGTTCTTGCAGAAGACCCAGGTTCAAATGCCAGCACCAACATGGCGACTAACAACCACCCATAACTCCAGTTCCAGGGCATCTGATGCCCTCTTCTGACCTCCGAGGACACTGCACAACATGGATACACATATATGCAGGCAATACACTCATACACATAAAATAAAAGTACATTTTTTTTTTTGGTCTTTTTGAGACAGCGTCTCCCTGTAGCCCCAGCTGTCCTGGAACTCACTATGTAGACCAGGCTGGCCTTGAACTCACAGAGATCTGCCTGCCTCTGCCTCCCAAGTGCTGGGACTAAATGCGTTGTACCACCACTCCCAGCATAAAAGTAAATTTAAAAATTTTTTTAAAAGACCAAAACCAAACCAAAACAAAACAAAACCATCAAAAGTGTATTATGAATGATAATTACTATAATTTCACAAATAAAAATCATTCTCATCATAGTAGAAAGACCTTTTATTAAGAGGACCTCTGCATTTTGCAGAGCACCTGACAGGTATAGATGTTCTGAGATGTCCTCGGGTCACATAAAGCTCTAAATTGCAAGAATTTTTTTTTTTTTTTTTTGAGACAGGGTCTCACTGTGTGTCTCTGGCTGGCTTGCAACTCTATGTAGACCAGACTGGCCTCTAACTCACAGAGATCTGCCTGCCTCTGCCTCACCAGTGCTGGGATTTTAATCTCACCACCACATATGGCCTAAATTGCAGGAGTTCTTATACCAAACTATTGTGATTCATTATGCCATAAACTATTGTTCCTGTTTGTTCTTTTAGGAGGACTGATCTTTTTTTAAGGACTGATTCTTTGGTAGGATGAAAATCTCTGACAATGCTGACTACATGATATTACGGAAAGTGATATATTTGACTCATGCAGTATACTTTGAATATGCTATACGTGGTGTTGGGGTGAGGGACAGACTCATCTTTGGACACTTGTCTCATATACGAAAGGTAAATGACAAATTAATAAGAGAAGACTACAGCTGGGCGTGGTGGTGCTTGCCTTTAAATCCCAGCACTCAGGAGGCAGAGGCAGATATGGAGCTCTGTGAGTTTGAGGCCAGCCTGGCCTACCTAGTGAGTTCCAGCCTAATGACATGAGTTCAATCACAGAGAGAGAGAGAGAGAGAGAGAGAGAGAGAGAGAGAGAGAGAGACACTACAGAGGACCATAGCCTGGAGGGAGGGAGATTAAGTTTATAGACAAAGGGGCTGGAGAGATGGCTCTGTGATTAAGAGCACTGGTTATTCTTGCAGAAAATCCGGGAGTTCAGTTCCCAGCACCCACATGTGGCTAACAACCATCTGTAACTCCAGTTCCAGGGGATCCAACAACCTCTTCTGGCCTCCATGGGCATTGCACAACACAGGTGCACTTACCTACATGCAGGCAATACATGCATACACATAAAATAAAAATAATAAATACAATTTAAAAAAAGTTTATAGATAAACTAGCCACCAGAGAAACCCAGGTTGTCTTGCAGCAAGTCAGGTGGGTTTAGAAACTGTTCCAATTTTCTGCAGAGCAGCTGCCTCTGTCCTGTGCATTTTGCTAAGACTCTGCCCCAGGAGGGTCCAGCCTCACAAAGTACACTTACCCCTGGTCCAGGTTTCATGCAGGGAGGCCTTCTGCTGGAATTTCTCAGCCAGGTGCTGAAGCCGCTGTAGGCGCCGGATCTCTGAGAGCAGCCAGTCCTCATAGCCCTTTTCCACCTGCTCCAGCCCCCGCCATGCATTGGCGATGTCCTGTGGGGAAGGCAGAGGTGGCTCACCCATTGTTGTGCGTGGGAATAGGAAGCCCAAGATCACCCAAGTCATGTGGGCAGAGCTGGAGCACCCCTTAATACCCAGCCTAGCTCACCGAAACCAGCTTGCCCTCGGAGGGCATGAAGGCGGGCCGGTGGCTCAGGCGCAGCTTGGTCTGCAGCGTGTTGAAGTTGATCTCCAGCTGGCACTCCTCCTGCACACGGGGAGGCTTGTGCAGGCGCCTATAGTCCCGGAAGTCCTCTAGCTTGCGCTGCATGGCAGTCATGCTGGGTTCACCCACTCGGTTCTCCAGCCATGGGACAGTGCGGCGGATCCACTCCAGCAGCTGCCAGGGCCAGAGCAAAGCTGAAAGTTATGAGCTGACTTTCCCACCCCCTTTCCACCCCACACTCAGACTGTGACCAGAGGGCAAGGCCTCAGATACATGGAGGTGACTTTCACAAGTTTGAGTGCAGAATGGGGTAGGCTGGTTCAGTGGTCAGAAGAGTAGGATGTGATGCTAGGGACCGAATCTACAGTCTCCCACATTTTAGACAAGTGCTCTACCACTAAGTCACATTCAAGCTCTAGGAGAGTTTATTTCTGAGTCCAGGGGCCAGAACAGGTTGACCTTAAGGCTGTCTAAATACAAGGAAAGGAATCCATGAATCGATGTTAAGTGAATCAGTAATGACCAGCAGCTTGGGTTGGCAGAAGGGCAGGTGATGATGGGGGTGGGAGGAACAGAAGGAGGCTGGAGGGAGGCTCTATAGGGCTATGCTGGAGGTTAGAGGAGTTGAGAGGGTCAGCAGGGACGAAGTAGGGAGCATGGTGGGAGGGAGGCTTTCTGGCCAAAGCCTCACCTCACTGGCCAGCTTCTCATATTCCTCCATCAGCTTTTCGTTTTCCTGGTTCACAGCCAGCACCTTGCAGATCCTGTTGGCAGCTGTCTCTGCCTGTAGTGGGGGCAGCAGGAGGGCTGGCATTAAGACGAGCTACCCCGGGCATCCCAACCTGTGTAAAGCCCTTAAAAACCCGGGCTGCGTCTGTCTGCTGGGGGCCTGCTGGTTGCCACCGGAATGGGCAAGTTCATGAAACCTGGGAAAGTGGTGCTGGTCCTAGCTGGATGCTACTCCCAGATGCAAAGCTGTCATTGTGAAGAACATTGATGATGGCACCTCAGACTGCCCCTATAGCCATGCTCTGGTGCCTGGAATTGACTATCCCCAGAAAGTGACAGCCACCACGGGCAAGAAAAAAATCGCCAAGTGATCTAAGATCAAGTCTTTTGTGAAAGCTTATAACTACAATCACCTCAGGCCCACCAGGTACTCTGTGGACATCCCCTCGGACAAAACTGTTGTCAATAAAGATGTCTTTAGAGACTCAGCTCTGAAACGCAAGGCCAGATGTGAGGCCAAGGTCAAATCTGAGAAGTGATACAAGATGGGCAAGAAAAGTGGTTCTTCCAGAAGCTTCAGTGTAATTTTGTTTCCATCATTAGAAATAAGAAAATTAAAAAAAAAAAAAAACCCAAAAACCTGGCCCAGTGTGTGCAAGTGAGACCCTTCCACCTACATGGCCTGGCACCTCCAAGTGTTGGGCTCACACCAAGGATGGCCCCTTAGGCTTTACCCAGACAGCAGTGGGGCGGCAGTGAGCTCACCCCCTTACCTGCTCAGCTCCAGCAAATGCATGGTAGAAGCAGGAAACATAGGTCATGATGGCCTTCTCATCTGGCTTTGGAGTGTTCACGATATCTGGGGGAGAAGAGCAAAGTGTGTTTTTTCTGCAGCACTGGGAATTGAACCCAGGGATTTTCTCATGCTAGACAAATGCTTTACTACATGGCTATGTCCTTAACCCTTGTAAGGTATATGTTGGCCAAAACCAGGGGTGGAGAATGAACTCAAGACCCTCCCCTCCAAGCAGAGAACATTCTTAGGATGAGAGAAATGGAGTGTTTTCCTCTTTCTTGAAGCCCTTTCTCCATCATCCCAGAGCCCTAGCAACCTCCCTTTCTATGGGGTAAGCAAAGCACTAGACCATGTTTGAGCGTGCAGATGCTGAGGCCCTCATGGCAATTGGTCCACACTGCCTGGTGCTCTAGGTAGCCTGTAACAGTGTCTTTTCTCCAAGTCTGCGAGCTCCTCAGGGGCCAGAAGCAGTTCTCCTTGGTGCCCACACATCCAGGGCATTGTGCAGCAGGTGCTCAGAAAATGTTTGCTGTTTCATTGACTGAACATTACCCAGGGATCAGAGGCAGGATGTGCCTTAGAGGAGCTTCCAGTCTTGGGGACCAACAGTATCTTGGGTAACCCAGAGGACTGGGATATGAAGTAGATGGTGGAGCCATTCCATAGCAGAGATACAGGAGAGGAAGGGCAGGGAGAGATGATGGAAGACTCCTAGATAAGAGGGAGAGTAGCTGGGCAATCCCAGCATTTGGGAGGCAGAGGCAGGCCGATCTCTATGAGTTCGAGGCTGGCCTGGTTTCCATAGCAAATCCAGGCCAGCTGTGGCTACACAGAGACCCTGTCTCAACATGTCTATAATTCTAGCACTTGGGTGGTGGAGGCAGGAGGATCAGGAGTTCAAGGCCAGCCTTGGCTACATAGTGAATTTGAGTTCAGTCTATATGAGTCTCTGTCTCAAAAACAAAACAAAAGATCTTGAGAAGGAAGAAGGGTAGGGATGGGGATGCGGAGCACAGAGTTCAAACATCACTGGAAGAGGGAAGAGCAAGACACAGTGTGGAGGATGGTCTGGGTCAAATGCGCATTTAGCATTATCTTCATCCAGGTGAGACTTGTTCTCACCTTCTGCATCCAACATCTTAGGGATGTCCAGGTATTTTTCCGCCACCTCAAAGGCAGTGTTCAGGTTGCCGATGGGGTCATCCTAGACAAGCATGAGAGGAGAGCTGAAAGGTCAGCTGAGGGCAGAGTTTGAAGAGCTGGTTCTAGGGGTGGCAGAGTCTCACCTTGCGCAACTTGGCATAGTCAATGAGATCTGGCCGGTGGCGGTGAATGAGAGCACAAAGGGCCAGGCCATCCTTCCAGCTGTACAGAGAACAGGGGCTGTCAAGCCTGGGCTCAGGCTGAGGCAGTATCCTGCCCTCAACCCAGGAGCACACCAGCAAAACAGCCTTGTCTATAGAATTGGGCCAAGTACAAACTCCTTCATTAGCACTTGAGGCTCATCACTGTCAAACTTGGACCATCTCCTCCCAGGTCCTCACAATCCCTTCCCATTCCTTGGGCTTAGATCAGACCAATGACTAGATGTTTGAGGCCTCTAGGTTCTCTCTTGCTGAAATACCCTTCCAAAGCTGTCATAACTGCTCCCTGCAGCAGGAGTTCTCTGCAACCCTCCTTCGTTCCATCCCATCCACTTCAGTATATCCTGAGTCCTACTTTCAGAAGGTATTCTAGAACTAGACTGGGGCACCTCCCACCTCTGGGGCTTGGGAGAGGTTCAGTCTATGCCTTCACAGACCAGAGCTGTTCACTGTGTCCTAGTGATGCCCAGCAGACAGACCTGGTGTGGAAGTTCTGTACGTTAACATTGCGGTACGGTGCTGTTTTCCGCTGGCACCACAGAAGCAAGCCTTCTTTGGCAGAAGTCTCTGGGTGGTGAGGGGGTGAAAATGTTAGCTGGGAAAGGATCTGCGCCAGCCCTCTCCACCTGCCTCCTCCTCCGCTTACCTTCTACAGAGATGTCCTGGATGGCGAAGCGGAGGATGATGGTCCAGATCATGCCCAGGGTCATCTTCAGGTTCCCATCAACAATCTCTGTTGGGGACAGGAGTGGGGATTGGACTCCAGGCCTGCGTGTCCAGGCCTCAGCTCACAGTCACCCTGCCCAGGGTTCTGGCCCTTGTCTCCCACCCAAGGTCTGGCACCTAGTAGGTAAGCACCTAGTAGGCACTCAACAAGTCATCTATTGTTATTTTAGAATGCTTCATTGAACACCTACTAGGTGCCAGGTGCTAGGCTGGCATTTGGGGTACATTTGCTCCTTCAAGGCAGGAATAATCCCCTGAGTCTCATAGATGTGACCTGTTAATGTCCCCCAACTCCTGACTCCTTGCCCAGGTCCCTCCTGCCCTCTCCTCACCTTCAGCACCGATGGACACAAGTTTAACCCCTTTGCTGGCAATGAAGTCCAGGGCCTTGTTGACATTGGCGATTTTGTGGAAGCGCATCTTGCCCTTGTCTGGCCTGGGCAGCCTCTCTCCTGAGTATGAAGAGAGGGCAAGGGTCAAAGGTCATCAGAGGGGGCTGGGGATATAGCTCAGTGTAGAGTGTTTGCCTAGTATAAATGAAGCCCTGGATTTGATTCTCAGCACTGAATAAAGAAAAAAGATGCCACCCCCAACTTGCCCTTCTCTAGCACATCCATCTCTTCCAGCACTTGGCCCCTACCATCCCCAACCCCCCTCCAGGTTTCCTTGACCATGCATGTGCACCCTCACCGGAAATGACCTCCAGGAGCAGCATGAGCTTGAGGCCATTGCGAAAGTCCTCTTCGATGTTCTCGATCTGAGTGCCCGCCTTGCGCAGATGTGAGTTGCACCATGCAGTGAAGGTCTGGGGACAGAGGACAGTAACTGGACCCGGGTCTGGGGTATACAGTCCTGGCCCCTCATTCAGTACAGGTATTAGAGTCCCCAAGGCGTTGTATACAATCCTGGGCCAGTCCCTGTCCCTCTCAGAGTTTTAGTTCTCCTGAGAGAAGAGAAACGGGTTTGGACTTGGGGCCCCCTCTGGCCAACACTCTGGTTTTATCTGATCTTAAGCACTTGAGGGTGGATTAGAAAACATTAATACTTGCTGGGTGTAATGTTACATGCCTTTAGTCCCAGCACTTGGGAGGCAGAGGCAGGTGGATCTCTGTGAGATCAATGGTCTACATAGCAAGTTCCAGGCCAGCTGGGGCTATAGGGAGACCCTGTCTCAAAAAGACCAAAAAAGGATACATTAATACTCTCCAAAGTATAGAACTCCCTGAGGGGTCCAGATAGCCCAGAGACATGGCCTCTAAACTGAGAAATCCTAGAGGGAAACACATCTATGTGGGGTAGAGATCAGCTTCTGGATATGAAAGCTTTGTACAGGGTGTGGAGAAGCTGTCAGGCACTCAAACCCAGCCTGACCTCCTTTCTTGCACCCATGGTCTTCTTCCTCTACAACCAGCCTCAGCCTCCACCTGAATGAGAGTGGGCCATGGCTGTGTCTATTGAGGACAGGGGTGTCCTATGACTATGTAATGTATATGCCTGACAACCTACTGGGCCTTCAGATCCTGAGTGAGACCTTCATAGAATCCACAACTGAGTTCTAATCCCAGCTCCAGTCCTTCTCCATGACTGGGGCCAGCTTTCTAGGGGTGCTGGGAGCTGGACGCAAATGAGAATGCTTTAAATAATTGAGAGGCTGTCATTGCTAAGGGAAGGGAGCTTCCTGTCACCTCTTGTGTTAGTTATAAGGACCCAAACACCAGAGATTGTATTTATATTTCTCCAGTTGTTTCTACCACCGCAGTCTGGATACTCTGGGTCTGCAAAGGGCAGGGGACAGGCAACTGGGGTGGGTGTGTGCAAACAGGAATCTTTTTTTTTTTTTGAGACCAGGTCTCTTGTATCCTAAACTCACTATGTAACCAACCATGACCTTGAACCTCTGAACCTCCTGCTTCCATGCCGAGTCCTGGGATTATAGGCATGCACTATCATGTCCAGTTTATTTGGTACTAGGAATCAAACCCAGGGCTTCCTGCATACTAAACTAATTCCCAATCCTAAACATGAGTTTTAATAAGACGTAGCCCTGCCCTGAAGGAGTTCACAGTCAATCAGAGTCATATTGGTCTAAGGAATACATGCAGAGGGGGTATACATGTGGGAATTTCTTGATGGAGGTTCACATTGGATCATAGCTGTGATGGCAGAGCAAGAGTATACAGGCCCAGGAAGGGCAAGCAAGGGCATTCCAGGCAGGAGCACCCACAAAGGAGAATGTGTAGTGAAACATAGTTGTTCCGTTTGTGGGACTACAGCATTGTGGGCACTTCTGCAATGAAACCTGGGGCTGTTGGGGTATCAGTGCTGAAAGGCAGACCGGAGGGGTGGCAGGGGCCAGGTCATGCACAATCCTGGGTGCTAAGCCGGGGAGTTTGAACTTGATCCCGAGAACAACAGGGAATCAGCAAAGCTTCAGGCATGGGGGAGCTGTCCGAACTGTATTTTAAAACTCACTCTGGTGGCACAGCAGAGACAATGGTTGGCAGAACAGAAGGGAAAAGTGAGGAGGCAGAGGTGGATACAGGAATGGAGATGGGCAGTATGGGGGGGATTGGGGTGAGGGGGCTGTATTTGTCTCTGGCTGAGTACAGATACCAGCAGGTAGAAAGACATCTCCTTAAGAAATATTTATGAGGCTGGAGAGATGGCTCAGCGGTTAAGATCACTGGTTGTTCTTGCAGAAGACCCAGGTTCGAATCCCAGCATCCACATGGCAGCTAGCAACCGTCTGTAACTCAAGTTCCAGGGGATCCAATGGCCTCTTCTGCCCTCTTCGGGCATTGTACAACATGGGTTCATTTACATATATGCAGGCAATACATGCATACACAAAAAATAATAAATAAAATATTTTTAAAAAAAGAAATATTTATGGTGTATGCCTTTAATCCCAGGCTTGGGTGGGAGAGACAAGTGAATCTCTGTGAGTTTGAAGCTAGCCTGGTATATATAGTGTGTTCCAGGCCAGCCAGGGCTACATAGTGAAACCCTGTCTCAAAACAACAACAACAAAAAAAGTCGAGTGTGGTGTTGTGGGGCTTTAAGGCAGAGGCAGGCAGATCTCTGTGAGATCAAGTCCAGTCTGGTCTATATGGCAAGTTCCAGGCCAGCTGGGGTTACAGGGATACCCTGTCTCAAACAACCCCCCCCCAAAAAAATTAGTGGGTGGGGTGTAGTGGAACACACCTTACCTCTGTTCGAGTTCAAGGCCAGCCTGATCTACACAGAGAATTCCAGGCCAGCTACATAGTGAGACCATGCCTCAAAAAACAAAACACAACAACAGCAACACAAAGAAATATTGATGGAACAGTTGGAATGTAGCTCAGTCAGTAGAGTGCTTGCCTAGCATGCAAGAGGCCCTGGGTTTGATGTGCGGCATCATGTAAAACCAATCCCAGAACTTGGAAAGTGGAGGCAAGAGGATCAGAAGTTCAAGGTCATCCTTGGTTACCTGGTAAGTTCAACCCCAACCTGGGCTACATGAGACCCAAAAAATAAAAAACATCCAGGCGTGGTAGTCCACGCCTTTAATCCCAGCACTCGGGAGGCAGAGGCAGGTGGATCTCTGTGAGTTCAAGGCCAGCCTGGTCTACATAGTGAGTTCTGAGACAGCTGGGGCTACGGGGAGACCCTGTCTCATAAATAAATAAATAAAAAGCAAAAACAGCTGGGCATAGTGCTGCATGTCTTTTTTGCTCCCAGCACTCAGGAGACAGGAGGTAGGCGGATCTCTGTGAGTTCCAGGCCAGCCAAGGCTACATAGTGAGACCCTGTCTCAATATAAACAAAACAAAACAAAAAAGCCAAGAAATATATTTATGAACCAACTGTTTTAGGGTGTGGTCGATTGAAGAGATCTTGTGCATCAGGGAGAAGTGCGTTGTTTCCAAACTAGAAACCCTGATGGTGATAAGACAGTACCTAGGATCAGGGATGGGTGGAACAGTGGAGCAGCTGACCACAAGATGTTACAGCCTTGTGATAAAACATTTTGAATGACAAATAATCCACATGTCCACCTACAGGGGATGCTGATTGGTTTTCAGAGCATCCGTTCTGTTCTGTTGTTGCATGAGTGGGTGACATGGGTGCCTGTAAATGGGATGAAAGAGGATGCTCCTGATATTTTAAATGATGAAGACAAGGAAGGGGCAGACTGACACTTGGGTGGCTGGTAGTAGAAGCAAAAACTTGTGGCAGCTGGAGCCATGGGCAGGGATGACATCACCCGGGGATTGCCAAACCCAGGGACCACAGCCATGGTTAGAGACAGGTGCAGGGAAGCCGGGAGGGGGTTGGAACCCCAGGCACCCCCAGCTGAGTCAGCTCAGCCTCCCCACCCCTGCAGTCAACTCCTGTCATCCAACCCATCGGAAGTGCTCTGATTCTAAATTCTGGAATTCTCAGGTTCCACAAATTCCACTTAGTACCCTAGTGCCCTGCCCTTTCCTGGAATCAGGCACTATTGGCAAGCCAGGTCCAGCGGCTTTGTGGTGCCCTCCCTATTGCCTGGACTGCCACTTCTCAAATTATCCCATGCCAGCTGGAATCATTTTCTCTTTAGGGAACCCAGGTGTCCTGCCCCCTCCACTGGGGAGTCTGGAAGTGAAAATAGTTCAAGGAGGGAGGGGGCAGTGCCCTACAAGGCTGAGTCTGGGCAACAGCTGCCCACATGCCCCTCGAGCTCCCCAAAAGGCGCTGCCTCAGCACAATTGTCCATCTGGCCTCAGGGTTAGGTTACAGGTTAGGGAACACGGGGCTCCCCCCTCCTCCCCACCTTCTGGCCTTTTCAGCAGACTCGGGGATCCTAAGGCAGGCAGGGGGGAGGTATCTTGGAAAAGAGTGGGTGGGGCAAGGGACAAAGACCCTCAGATGGGGGAATCATGCTTTCTGACAGTATATAATTAGGGTGCCTATCTCTGCCTTTTTCTGGACCTCAGTTTCTGCAACTGCCAAGCGAGTAAAGACACCGTGGACCCTTCCCAGAGCAGAATATAGAGGAGAGGAGGGGACAGAGTGGGAGATGATCCCTGTCCCCTACACTCCCAAATCCACTGGCTGTGTGTCTAGCATATTCCCCCCAGGGTGGGATCTGAGAATACTTAACTGGAGAGTGAAGTGGGTATGTTAGAGGAGCATTATTCTTCCTGACAACGCCCCCACCCCCATCTCTGACCCAACAATAACTTGGCTCCTCTGGGCTTTGTTCAAAACCCATTTTCACCAGTGTAAATGGGGCAGTGGGACCAAAGGGGAGAGTGGGGACTCCAGGAATTCTTCTTGGCATCCATAAGCCCTCACGAGGGTTCCCAGACTTTTAGCCCTTGAGGGGAGCAGATGGCTGGTGGGCAGAGCCTGGGCTGGGGAGTGACAGTCTAGATTTAAAGGTAGACTCTGCCCCTGACCTGTGGAGATGCCCAGAAAGAACCGCCTGGCCTCTCAGGCCTCAGTTTTGCCTTTGGGCAATGGGTGAATACTCACTTTCCGCTGCTGTTTCTCCCAGGCAGGGTCCAGCAGCAGGTCGCGGTCCCAGTCCTCCTCCTGTTCCATGTATTCGCCGCCCCCGCTGCCCGAGAAGGGCCCCTCCCCGGCCCCCAGACCCTCGGGCTGCATAACCATCATCATCTTGCTCAGGCTCCTGGCTCCGCTCCGCTAGGCACGCTCAGGAACGCTCCAGGCCGGGTTAAGTAGGATCCTGCCCAGCCCCAGATCGGATTCACACTAAATATGGGCTTGGTGGGTGGGGCCAGATAGGGGCAAAGGAGCTCGGGTTTGGCCCCAAAGAGATTGCTCAGGAGTCAAAGATGGAGGAATTGCGTGATAGTGGTGGGGTGGCGCACGACTTTGGGGTAGATCTACTGTGGGTTTCCATTGCAGCCCCCTGGTTAGGGCGCTGTGTGAACTTGGGAAAACCATGAACCTCGTCTGTGTCGTCGTCTATAAGGTGGAGACGACGACATCTTAGTGGCTGCGGACCACCCTAAAAGTCTGCCCTCTGGGCCTGGGCAAACGGAGCCCTATTCCCATTTCACAGTCAGAAACACCAAGGCGCCGAGCTGTTTTGGATGTTTTCTAGGGCGATGGCGACACCCGAGCATGTGGAAGGGCTCGGGGCCAGCTAGATAGAGCCAGCCAGGTCTATTAATATCAGGACTGCTGTAGAGGAGGGTGGGGAGAATGTGCTGAGCTGGGAAACCCCGACGCCACGCGGGCTGCAACTCAATACTCCCGGGCGCCACAGCCAGCCACACCAGGGGGCGTGGCTTCCTATGAGGGCGTGGCTTCCTCCATGGTGGGCGGGGCGATGGCTTCGCCTTGTCACCTGGACTCCAGCGCCAACCGGATTCTGAGCGTCGCCCAATCACCTGTCGGCCTTTGCCGAGTCTGGCGTGCAGTGCACCTCTGCAGAGTATGCATTGGTCGCGGCCAACGTCCGTCTGCTCCTGTGCCCGCCCCAATACGGAAGCGGAGGGGGTTTCCGAGATCTGAGCGCCGCTGGGTCGAAACCATGGGGCAGCCCTGGGCGGCCCGGAGCGCAGAAGGGACGCCGGCGCGGCTGCCGCTCGTGCTCACCGCGCTGTGGGCCGCCGCGGTGGTCCTGGAGCTGGTCTACGTGCTGGTGCTCGGTCCCGGGCCGCCCCAGCTGGGACCCCTGGCCCGGGCCTTGCAGCTGGCGCTGGCCGCCTATCAGCTGCTTAACCTGCTGGGCAACGTGGGGCTCTTCCTGCGCTCGGATCCCAGTATTCGGGGCGTGATGCTGGCCGGACGCGGTCTGGGCCAGGGCTGGGCGTGAGTGGAGCGTGGGGTCCGCGGGCAGAAGGAGGGGGTGGGGCTCGGTCGCGGGAGGGGCTCCAGGACACGAGATGTCAGGAGCAGATGATGATAGCATCCAGGTTGTCAGAGCCTGAGAACTCCTTTAGCACTTGGCATTAGGTTTTTTTTTTTTAATGTATTAAAAAATATTTATTTCTATGTGCCTGCATGTATGTAAGTGCACCAGTGTGCTTGCAATGCCAGCAGAGGTCAGAAGAGGGCATCATCCCCGGAACTGGAGTTATGGACAGCTGTTAGCAACTGTGTGGGTCCTGGGAACCAAACACCGGCCCCCTCAAAGAGCAGTCAGTGCTCTTAACCTCTGAGGCATCTCTCCAGCCCAATAACCTGGCATTGGTTATTAACTCCAATACTTATTGAGCAGGCGCTGTTCCAGGGACTGGGGCTATGGTAAAACAGATTCCTCCATTCCTGGAGTTGACAACTGGCAGAAGGAGCAGATCATACATTATAGACTTAAATAAGCAAATTGTATAAAATAGAGGAAAGGTGGTAAAGAAGACAGGGAGTGCAAAAACTCAGGTCCTCAGGCTTATACAGAAAGTACCTTTACCCCAATGAGACATCTCCCAGGCCCCCATTTTTTTTTTTTTTTTTTTTTTTGTTTTTTTTGAACAGGTTTT